AATAAATAAATAAATAAATAAATAAATAAATAAATAAAAATTGAATTAAAATAAAAAAAATCATGTTGGGAGACAGCAAGAAAGGCACTTAACCTATATAAAAAAGAACATATCTGAAGGCTACACAACTACTAAAATCTAATATTGAATAAGTCAATGTCACCTACAGCGTGTGATCTGCTATGACCTGCCAGAAGTCCGTGCAGAATGACCTCGTTCATTCTATTAGTGGATTGAGTCGCACCTGTTTGGTGGTGGCAGATGGTACAGCAAAACAATGCATCTCATTTCAGAGCAGTGCAGTGCCGTGTAACTGAGACACTGCCATTCCAAATGGCAGACATCCATCTTTGACATGCAGACTATTTGTACAAGAATTAAAAAAGTACTCTGAACAAGATCAAATGAACGTATTTGATATCACTGGCTTGTTTTGAATCCAATGAAAGAAAAAAAATCAATGAGAGCTCCGATAATTATATTGTTTGCTATGTAGTTTGACAGTGTGGCGGGTTATGTACTCAAAGCAGCACAAGAAGTTTAGTGGCATCAAAAGCGATCAGTTCCCTGAAGGCGGCTTCTGTTTTGTTATATGAGCTTCAGAAGCAAGACTAGCAATAAATAGAATTCTGAAGAGACATTTGTTTTTGTGAGCAAATATAGCAGAAATGATTTACACTTTGTGTAAAGCTGACACGTAGAATAACTTCTTGGCAATTTTTCTCTATTTAGGTATTGTTTTTATTTATTTATTTATTTGGTTTTGTTTATTTTGTTTTTTCCTACATCAGAAAATATCCAGATCAGGTTACTGCACCAAAACTAAAACTGACTTATTTCCTGGTGTGTGTTAGCATCCCTTATGCACAGCCGTTGCCATTCATGGTGTGGTAAACAATGTAATTAGTGGTGATTTGCATTCTGGTCTCTGTGGATCAATCTGCATTAAGGTGCTCCTCATTTCTGTCACTCTACCTTCATTATGTGTCCTCGTGTTCGATTTATGAGACCCAAAACCTGAGAGGCTTTTCGCTTGATGTTCACATTTTCTTTTCCCTTTATTATTTTCTCTCTCTCTTTTTTTTTGCACTTTGTTTTTGTTCACAACACACACACACACACA